GTTTTACTGTTGTTCTGATCTCGGGTTCCAGAACTTATTTCTGGGATAGTCCAAGATAAAGATTATATCTCTTCCTTATAGATTCTTAGAAAAGGCAATATATTACTGTCAGAGAATTATAATAAGGAAGCTATTGACATCCTTAGGTAGTTAATAAGAGAAGAATCAGAATTGTCAAGGATATCTACTATTCAGGATAGAAGACCTGTCAACTAGATAAGGATATGTAGGCTAGAAGAGAGAGAAATCAAAGACAGGCAGTAGATACTATTCAGACAGGAGACTGATTCTTGATCTCCTTCTACTACTAACTATTCGCTAATTTATAGCTGAAGACTCTGTACATAAAGGGTTCAGATTTCCCGTTGAAAACCAAACTGTTGATGGCCTGATGTTCCTCATCGGTGGCCGATTGTCCATGCACCTGGGTCAGGGTATCCTGTACGGCCATCAGGCCGAATCACCATTCAATCTGTGACAATAATCACAAGCCTCTAGTTATTAATATAAGATATCTCACTATACAGATTTCTTTATTAATCTAGAACTTCTTTAATCTAACTATTTCATTAATATACTTAATAGTGAAATACTATTCTTAGCTTATCTTTTAGATCTTTCTCTTCTCTCTCAGTATTATAATATACTAGACTTAGTAGAGTATATTAACAAGCCAAGCCCTTTTAACAGTATTATTGTTACGCCTGGGTATTCGGGCAAGAGCTCTATAGATGTTAGCTGCCTTGCGTTGCGGTAATACTATACCTAGACAATGAATCCGACGTGATTCCAAGGGTGATCCTATCCAGGATCCAACAGTATGACCTAACCCGAGGTCCGACAATGTGCAACAATGTTCCGTGGGTAACTCAAGTCCAAAAGGCCAGGCCTACTAAGTACATATACTCAGTAGTTAAGGAAGTGCAAATAAGTCGATTACTAACTTGATACTAAAGGTGTATCCTAAGTAACAATGTTGATTGATCATGAATAACTTAACTAAGTACATGAATGAGTGTCCTTATATATCCCTATTTCCGTCTACCATTCCATATACCATATCATGGTAGTTCCCCATGGTAGTTGCTACCATATACCATTGCCAAGCTTTGGCAGTTGGTAGTCTACGATGCTTAGTAAGCCCTAGCGTCCGAGCTAGCTTCACGCTCAAATACCTTTGACAGTCATTCTTGTCCACTGATTGTTGTGTCGCCGGTTCTGCCGCTCGTATCCGCTTCCGATAGGTGCACTAGACAAGGGTCTGTAACAATTATATTCTCTTTAATAGTAATTTAACTAATCTAAAGATAGAGGAATCTAGAAGAGAGTTTGTAGAGTAGTGGTCAAAGACAGAGTATAGCTAAAAGCAAGATATCTGGAGGTCCATCCAATAGGATAGCAACTTAAAAAGTCTGATATTTGGTCATTATTTAATCAGGTTGCATATGTAAACACAGGTAAGCCAAAGATTATATACAAGTGCTGTTAAAGTTTAATCATTTACCCAGCATATCATTGTGCAGATTATTTGCTAATAAAGATCTATCTTGCTAGTGCTGTCTATGTTAAACTACAAACCTTGAAGAGTAAGAGACAGGGTATAGATTAATTACTACAAGACTTGATAAGTCTTTAACTATAGTGTTAATTGCAGCTCAGAGAGCCGCAGGTAGTAGGGGGAATAGCGTGCTACGGCGCCGCAGGTGGCAGGAGCAGAGGACTGGGTTTCTATTGAATGATCTACTACCATACACAGAGGTTGATCACTGGTTTCTGAAGCTATTGGGTTGCACTCAGAATTTTACCGCAGCGGGTAGCACGTGACCTGCATATGCTACTATATCACCTGCAGGCGCTGTGAGGTGCGCCTAACATTACCCCCCTCTCTCGGAAAGCCCTGGCCTCAGGGCTTCATAGGTGCTCATTTATACTGGCGTATGACCCCGGCTTATGCGGGGGTTGGTTGCGAGCGCGGGGTATAGGTGTTCAGTGGTTCTGAGCAGTGTATGATTCTATACTTGGGGATAGCCCCACATTTTCTATTTTAGGGAGTGTAGAAACATTAGTTATGTTGTAGAGGGTCTGATCCTGATTTCTGCCGCGTGCCCTATAGTCTGAAACGCCCGATTCCATTCACTTACTTGACATTAGGTGGTAATATTGTGTTGTGGTTATATTATACTATTTACTGATTCTGTTACCTAGGCGTTGCTTATATTATATATTATCTACTATATAGTGATTTCTTATATACTGTTTCTTATTCCTTTTCTTAATTACTAATCTCTTTTATCTCTATAGTAAGTACCTTGTTTTCCTATATCACACTGCGTGTTCAGGTTATTCTAATTACAGTATCCTATTCTGCTTATTATATTGCCTGTATCTTGTTGTTTTGAGGCCTCCTGAGCTATCAGGTGAGGCACTGTTATATTCTTTATTCTGCTGATAATTATATTCTATATTAAGCTCTTTCCTGCTCCCTTTTATAGCTTTGTCTGTGGGCTTGTGTGTATGCTGACTTTACTGGTATATTTAATAGATAGTTAAATATTGGTCTGCCGCTGCTTGTATACTCTACTGTACCAATAGGCATAAGAAGAAGAACCGTGCCTGTCTCCTGTATTATCAGTAGGCTTCAGTTTCTTCTGTATCTCCTCCTATATCGTCTTTCTTTGGGGGCTTTTTGCCAAGTCTATTTCCAGTCTTCTCTTTGGAGAAAGTGGTTATGTCTCCAGGCCCCCTTAGTAGGGATGATATCACGCTTTCTACTTTCTTGAGTAGGAAAGATCTCTCATTCTCTCTCTCTTTGGAGGATGAGGCCTCCTTATCTTCAGAAGATAACACAGACACCCCCTTATCTGAAAATAGTGGAAAGTGATGCCTGTGGTGTCTCCAGCGCTGCGGTTTAGCCCCATCAGAGATAAGTGTTACTTATATAGTCTGTGAGAGCCATCATGTCTGTCTTTATTATACAGGTGGTTACCACTGTTATGTGCCGGTAAGTGATATCTTATTCTGACTCCTACTACTAGGCAATGTTAATATGTGCGGCAGATGCCTCCTGGAGCCATTATATAGGCAGATACAGTATTGGTAACACGCCACTGCTTTGAGCAGTCTCTATCTACTATTATAATAAAGAAGACTCTCAAAGCTGCGGTTTATGCCCTCAATTAGGCCTCGCCATAACCCGCGGGTTACCCGAAACCCGCAGATTTGAGGGTTCTGGGTTGAGGCCTACAACTAGGCTGACCGTTGGGACGGGATAATCCCAGGGATTTCGGGATGGGATGGGGTTTTGGGATTTTGGGATGGGAAATGCAAAATAATGCCAAGACAAATATAGGAATCCTGTTTTTATGATTAGCCTAGATAGGAATCCCATTCTATTTTAAAATTAGGAATCCCAATCCTATTTTATACAGTTAAACAGGATGGGATTCCTGTTCTAGCCCTATATTTGGGATAGAATAGAAAACAGAATACCAAGAGAGAAAATAAGATAGAATAGGAAAATTCTATTCTATTTTATTCTATTCTATCCTATCCTAATAGTCAGTCTACAGATACTATTCGGATAGAAGACTAATTCTTGATCTTTTACTACTACTATTATTACTACTATTAATTCTTTAATTTATAGCTAAAGACTCTATATCTATATAATTTAGAATCTCTTAAAAATTAATTTATTATATAGTCTAATATTTCTTATAACTTATTACCTATATAACTAGGTTAGGGACTCTGACTGTTAGGACAGGATAATCTAGAGATTTTAGAATAGAATAGAATAGAATAGGATTTTAGGATTTTAGAATAGAAAATAGAAATTCTATTCTATTCTAAAATCCTAAAATAATACCAAGATAAATATAGGAATCCTGTTTTTATAATTAATCTAGATAGAAATCCTATTCTATTTTAAAACTAGGATTAGAAATCCCGCATTGTATAGTTAAACAGGATAGGATTTCTAGCCCTATGTTTAGGATAGGATGGGAAACGGGATGCCAAGAGGGAAAATGGGATAGGGAATGGGATACCAAGGATGGGATGGGACAGGAATGGGAATTTCCCATCCCATCCCAATGGTCAGCCTACCTAGCAGTCAAGGCAGCTCAGTATCTAAAATATCTTATATAGTTAAGTAGCTAAAGGAAGTCAGAATCTAGCTTTAAAAAGCTACTTAAAAATTAATATTATAGTCTTGATTTATCTATTAAAGCTGGCCTAAATTAAATGATTAAAGGTACTGAACAAGCTATATATGATATAATAATATTTAAGTATTAACTTAAGTAATATAAGGCTTTATATAAAAGGCAGGCTAGAAAGTGAAAGTGTTCTATTATACAGATTATTTTTAAAGAAGGCATATCAGTGCCTGAAGCCCAAATCCTTATAGAGCGCCGAAATCAGGCAGATGAAGCCAAACAGGCAGATAGGGCTCTGCCTACTGAATCGGCTCCTAGGCGCGCCCCACATAAATGTTCTGGCTGTGGTATACAGGGCCATAAAATTACGCACTGTCCGAATCGATAGAACTACTCATGTTTATATAGAAGTCTAAAGTCATGGTGTTTTGATCATTTTAAATTTCAATATGGTGTGTGGCGCGTCACCCGCTTACATGCGTCGCTCGTTTACCGATTACGTTATATCTCTGTAGGCGCGTCTCATGTCTTTGCGTTTCTTTCCCCACGCTAGAATTCTAGATAGATAGCGCCGATAAACATCATTTTGAGAGGCTGTCACAATTTCCCCATGCGGCTAAGTTAGTAGCTGCTGAATGGCTATCCTGATGCAAGTAGGGCCGGGGTTAGTTACTGCCGGCTGATTTTGTCCATGCGAGGCGAGCAGGGTTCGCGGATTTGGCAAGGCCATAACCAGGCCAATTCATTAATGGAATCTTTACATTCAGTAACAGCCTTCTCAGCTGTTAACCGAAGTTTGTCCTTTGCTAACAGATAGGAAAATAACAGGGACATTGAGTATTTCTTGGTACAAATAATAAATGAGCTTAAGAATAAGATAAAAAAGTAATAAAACAAACATGCCTATCTTAATTGGCCGGAACTATTATCCTTCCCACCTATATATATTACATGTTCCTCTGAATCACCGGAGGACGCTGGTAATATGTCAACCAGTCTATGGAAGTACAGATGTGCAGGAACCCCCACGCCTCTGCATCATCATAAAGTACTTTCATCCAACCGACATCCTCCAAAGTACATCCCTCCAAAGGCTCATACTCTTGCAACTGGGCAGATCTCCCACACTCCGCCAATTCATCCTCGTCCAGTTCCTCCGGCTTCCAATCCCCATTAACCAGGCGCACAAACCCAGTTTCATTACAGTCATCCAGATCAGGAGCGCCTAGGACTGACTCTAAAGCTTCCTGGTCCACCATAACAAAGAACCGATACCGACCTGACTGTGCAAAGTGAGCATGATCAATGCCCTGCTCCTCTTGTGGCGCGGTCGCAGCCCACTCTTGGAAGTGCTTGCGTAGAAGAGCGGTGTTCGCGCCGTCAAAATATCTGTCTTCAAAGACTATAGGGGCGAAGCTGTCTAAGAGATCCAGACCGTTATAGAATTCAAGCTTTTCAGTGACATGGTAGAGAAAGCGAGTCATAAATTTTTCCCAGTCAGAGTCGCTTTGATATGTGCAGCGATAAATCACAAAGCCCCAGGTTTTGAATTTATCCTTTTGGAGGAGCCGTTCCAGTTCGTCGGCAGTGTTATAAGTTGTTTCCATCGTGGGGTCACGTTTTGATGGCTGTATGGGCCGGTCTTCGTTGGGGATCTGCAAGGCACTCATTGTGGTTCGGAACGGGTGGAAATGCAGGCACTTGGCGGGATGTGAAGCGCGACCGATGCTAGTGGGAAAGCGCGCGACGCTGCGGAAGCGATGGAGGGTGGGGAGTTTGTGTTGGTTGTAGATGGAGCGAAGAATTCTCGTTGTATTCATTATAATAAGTTGGGAGAGATGTTTTGATTCATGGTCCGCGGTTGAGCGGGCGGAGGAATGGGGGGATAGTAGAAAATATGGTTAAGGGGAGCTGAGGTGTGTTTCAAAAAGCACTAGTGTACTTCTTGTCTTGGCAGTAAGATTGTTTACATAGTAATTTATGAGAAAGCTCTTAGATTCAGGACAGATCATGAGGAAGCAACCCGGCAAGATGTGTTAGTGGCGCTCTGACCACCCACCGCCTTTCGCCAGTGGGTGGTCGTCAGCGGAACGCAATTTTCAACGCAAAGCAAAATAATTGAATTCCTAACTTTTTGAAGCTCTACAGACCACCTAAAATGCCTAAAATACTTAAAAATCTAGATAAGCGTGTAAATGAGGCCGCTGAAGCTGCTTGCCAAAAACAAAATCTGAATATTGCAGAAATTACACAGTAATTCGGTGCCCTGCACGATACACTGTACGGCCGTCTTCACAAGAAAGGAAACGCCTGTACAGCTCAAATCCCTGCAAATAAAGTATTAAATCAGTATCAGGAGAAGGCCTTAGTACACTGGATTACCTGTATATGTGATATATACCTTCGCGTCACGATCACGATGCTTGAAGAATGGGGAAATCTCACTGTACAGTATGTTGATCCCGAGAAGCATATCAGTAGATTATCGGCTTATTATTTTGCTAAATAGCTTCCTCCTAAGCTTAAATTAAGCCCTGTAATTCAAAATATAAAGGAGAAGAAGTGTTTAGATATAGAGAATATTAGACAGCTTCAATTTTGGTATAATTAGCTTGTAAACTTGCTGAAAGCAGTTCCCGCTTGCCTTGTATACAACTTTAATAAATATGGCTTGCTTTTAACCAGGTAGTGGAAAAAACTAAAAAGTGCTTAGTATAAAAGCTGATTTACTGAATATTCAGAGAATATTACCGCGCTTGAATGTATACCTGCAGATGGCTGGATTATGAAGCCGCTTCTTATCTTTAAAGGTAAGACGTTTATAGAATCATGGTATAATAAAAAGCTACCGGATGTTACAGACCCTTGTCTAGTGCACTTATCGGACGCGGGATCAGACGGCAGAACCAGTGACACAACAGTCAGGGAACCAGACACTAGCGCCAGGAAAGGGAAAGCACCAAGGAACACCCACTTATGAGATCAACTATCTTGTATACATAATTAATGAATCACGTGATCTAGAATATATCACTAACAAGCTATATCATGGCAGCGCTATAATTGAAACATGTCAGCGACATGATATGATATATCAGTAATATAATATATCATTGTGATTCCATTAGCCAGCCACATAACCACTAGGCTAAAAGCTCAGCAATTGACTACTTAAAAAGTAGTCAACCTGTTAAGTGGTATATATATAAGGTGGTCCTATCTCATACTAGGAACCACATCCTCCCCCACTTAGAATAAGCTTGACCTCAAGCTTATAGTGGATCCAGGATGGCCAATCTATATATAGGGCCCAAAAGTCGCCTTAGTATGCAATCACATAAGGCATGCTTAGTAAGGCTTTTGTATGTTAACTTAGGGTATTGGATTTCACGTGCCTCTAGGTAGGCTGACCTAGGCTGACCGTTGGGACGGGATTCCCGTTCTAGCCCTATATTTGGGATGGGATGGGAAACGGGATGCCAAGAGGGAAAACGGGATGGGATGGGAAAGGAACAGGAATGTCCCATCCCATCCCGTTTTCCCTCTTGGCATCCCGTTTCCCATCCCATCCCAAATATAGGGCTAGAACGGGAATCCCGTCCCAACGGTCAGCCTAGTTCGACCCAACCTGACAACCTACGGGTTATGGCGAGGCCTATAAATACATGAACAGGTATCTGGCAGTATACTCTAGTCCAGGGCAATTACCTAGTGCGCGTCAAAAGTTAAGCTTTATTAGTCCTGTTATATCCTAGATATCTGGGAACAAGGTTCTATCTGGAAACTTCAGCAAATACCGCATCCAGGTGTTGCGGTAACTCAGTAGATATGTTTCAGACACTGAATTCCGGCTCTTAAGAATAAGTTATAATCCTGCTTAAGGAATTCTTTAGGGTATAGTTAAATTATCTGGAAGTAAAAAGCTCGGCACAGGCATTCAACTCCAGGTAGATATAGAGGAAAGGATAGATAAATAAGATAACTTATTCTGGCTGCACTGTTTTCCTGGAAAACAGATCTTACTAACAATAGGCTACATGAAATAATTGTAATAGTGGATATTATATTACTGACACTGTCCTGGAACTGGGCCGCGCATAACCAGTAGAACTCCACTAGAATCAATAACCTTTAGGCAGTAAGCAGCCATTATAAAGTAGAAAGAGATCTTAATCTAGTGTACTGATCAGTATCTAATGCTGTGTGGATGGTCCGGTGCTATATTTCGCAGACAGATCCAGGAAGGCATGTATTAATTAACTAAGAGTCCTAAGGATGACTCGCTGAAATTTATTGTCAAGCCTGTCTTCTATCCAAGGAAATGTCTCCTGAATCATCTGCAGCAAAGACATGTGCCTAGAGCCATAAATCCAAAGAACAAGGGACCGCATAAACCCCGAAACCTGGCCATGAGAAAGAGAAACAGGGAAGCCTAATAACAAGAGAACTTTTTTAATTTAATGACTCTTAAAAGATAGCGGGATTTTGTATTACTGAATATGCAAGATAGATATTGCCGCATCCGGGAGAGCCAAAGATGTAGAGGGCACTCTGCCCTTCCTTGATCCACTTTTAAGATTCAGTGGTATGGTAGAGCCAGAGACAAGTACCCGAGTCAGTTCAGACTTCTCAGGAGTGGTCAAAGCGCGTCTGTCTATGCAACACGGACAGGTTAACAACGATGGCGTTTGAGGGGAAGCAAGTCGAAAAGAAAAAGAAATGAAAAGAAAGCAAATAAAGGGGACCACAAGGATTTCGAAAAACGAACGATAAGGAAACAGACCATCAATTTGCGCTAAGTTGGCAGCAAACAAAGCACAAGTATTGTGGCTCCAGCGTTGTCAAAGCTAACCTCGTATTGGACCTTTCTCATATACTAGACCTTTTAGAATGGACTGTAGATTTGTGGCATATTTTATGTGCTTCTAAACCTGAGGCCAACTTGTACTGAACTTATTTCGTCTTTTGTTGAAGACGGAATTCTGTGCATGTAGTGCAATTATATTACAATATCACACATACTAACCCTCTCAACCACAGACATATATCACCACATCTTGAGGAAGAAACCTAGAATAATGTTACTTAGCCTTAACTGTAGTTAGGCGTCGTTCTAGAAAGTCAAAGATAACTTGATGTAACCTGAAAAAGGTGCCTTGATGGCAATGCGTGTCGAGACCTTCATCAGCTCCTAGACGAACAAGTTCATGCTCACATCCCAGGTGACTGCAAAGTAACTCCGGCTGACCTTTGAGAAAATGATCATTTTCTGCATCGAGGACCAGGCAAGGGGTTGATATCTTGTGAGCCAACCCTTCCAGAGTGTAGAGGTTGACTGCACGCATCAGCTCTGTCTCTGATGTCACCCCAAAAGTCCATTTGCCGTTGCGTAGGGCCCACCGAACACCCGTATCCAGAGATTGAACACCACGGAAAATGAAATTGCAAATAGAATCATATTCGCGTTGGACAAGAGTTTGCACGAAAAATGGCTGGTTCGCTCGAAACGCATATCCGAAGTCGTACACGCCGTCATCCAAAATAATCGCCTGGGCTCGATGCTCCTGTGAGGCTCCTCGTGCCACCAGAAATCCACCCATACTCCAGCCAAAGATCGCTATAGCATTGGAGTCGACATCCTTGCGATGCAAAGCAAAGTCAACCACGGGGGTTAACACGTTCTCCCAGTCGGGGCGGAAGTATAGGCGCTGTCGTCGGACAGCTGCACCCTGGCCGGGGCCATCAAAGGCGAGAAAGTTGTATCCTCTTGCTAGGGCTGCAGCTCCAAGGGCAAACCACGCTTCGCTCGCGGTAGAATCATACCCGCCGTTAAAGATAATAGTACGTCGCGCATTACCTGTACTGTCCGGGCTGACAAAGTAACCAGGGAGGGTTGTGCCTTGATAGGGAATCCTGATCGATTCGTAGGCATATGTAGACACCGTCATCGCCTCTACAAACGCGGTCTCCGATCTTTCGTACACCAACTGTGCTGTTTTATCGTTGTCATAGTTATCGCGACGGAAGAACTCGGCGGTTCGGTAGTAATTTGACGAACGAAGATAGCCCTCGTAGGCACTGACAGTGTTGTTCACCGATGCTGAATGCTCTGCACCGGAAAATGCTCGGTCTGCGGCCTTTTTCCATTCAATCAACCAGTCGTCTTCGTTGCCAGCTCGAATTTTGGAGATGATCGCTATCACCTCCCCAAGATCTGCTCCACCGTAGTTACTGTACCCAGCGGCCCGAAGTGTCTCATAGCTGAAACATTCGTTGGACTTGAAAAAATGGTTGATAAGCATGACCACTTGAGCCCTTGATCAATTCTAGGCATAGCTAGCTCGACATAGTATACAAGTGAGGATAGGATATTTATAGTATCTCATTGAAGAGCTGGTCACTGAGTCATGTGACAGAATTGCCGAAGTCGGTCCGAATCATTAGCTCAAAGTCGGGCCGAGTCATACCCCATCTCAATTCCACTAGGTCCGATGAGCAGGTCTAAAACCCAAATTTGCAATATCTATGGGGATTAATATTATGTATATTATGTTCATTTGTAAGCTAGTGATGACACGAGACGTGAGTCACGGGCTTCAAAGGGAGATTGGCTAGCGGTGGCTCCCTAAATAAGTTTGTGTGCTGCAAATATGAAATTATTTTCTCGTCATATCCTAACTTAGCATTTTGATTCCTACCACTATATGCTCATAAGGGAAGCTAACTCACCATTTCAAATCAAATTGTCATACAATCTGAGGAAGGTAGCCTCTGTTGGCCATCTCCGGAGTCAAACTCTGATATGAGCAACGCTATGAGCCAGAATACTTTTGACAGGGTTGTCCAATTGGCTGAAGATGACCCTGTGCATCCCTATAACATAGGTTTAGCTAGAAAGTGGCTGGTTGTTACTATTGTATCGCTCTGTTCACTTTGCGTGTCAGTATTCGAGGACTATAGACCATAACTTTCATTACCTAGCAAGCTGAGAGTTGATTAGGGCATGCACATCTTCGATATACACAACAACATACGACCAACTCTTCAATAAGTTTCACTGTTCCCGCGAGGTTGCGACTCTGGGCCTATCACTGTTCGTATTTGGCATGGGTTAGTCCGGCATATTACCCTCTGCTTGTTTGTTACAGGTAAATCCACTGACCTTTCGTCCGCTTAGGCTTCGGTCCATTGATTTCAGGTCCTTTATCCGAGGTACGACAGAGGCTTGCGGGTTCTTAAATAAAACCTAACCCATACGATAGCTTTACGGGCGTAGGATCATTTTTCTCACTTCATTCACATGCTTTCTTATATGGCTCGTACCTTGTGCTTTGGCGAGAAACATCCAAACACTACTCATCGCTCGGTTCTTCAATGGGTTTGCAGGCAGCGCCTTCCTCAGTGTTGCAGGAGGCACAGTAGGTGACTTATTTCCTCGGCATCAGCTGGCTGCTCCAATGATGGTGTCTACCGCAAGTCCCTTTGTTGGACCTGAGCTTGGGCCTCTGTGAGTGTACCTTATGGACTTTGTCTTCCTATTTAGCCTTGAACTTATAGGTAGCCTTATCACTCGTTGAAGTGTAGGTGGGTTTGTAAACCAGTATGCAAATTGGTATGTATGAGAGGGAACCCGACTAAACTCATGGGCTGGTAATACCATTCTAAAACTGTGAATACAGGCGATGGACCTTTTACACCCTACTGTCCTGGGCTGCAGCAATGCTGGTCTTTATTTACGTATTTGTGCCCGAAACCCATCATCCAGCGTAAGTTCACCGCACCTCATACCCCTCTGAAGAAGCTAACACTGCTTCCCAGCATCCTGACACAAAAGGCACAAGAGATCAGAAAGCAGACCGGAAACCCGTGGCCGCTTGGACCAAGCGAGAGTGCTAACCTCGCTCCGAGCCAGTTGATCCTCCGTTCCGTCGTCAGACCGGTCATGCTCCTGACTTTAGAACCTATGTGCCTAAGCCTCTGCATATATTCTTCACTCTTGCTGGGCATACTTTATCTGTTCTTTGGCGCATTCCAGATTGTCTTTCAATCCGTATATGGATTTGAGTTATGGCAGCGTGGGATCACCTTTATCAGTCTTCTTGTTGGGATGATCCTGGCCGTTCTTTCAGATCCATTTTGGCGCTCGAACTACCAACGGCTGGAAAGAGATCATCATGCCCAAAATGGCGAAGGCTCAGGATTCTACCCGGAATGGAGGCTTCCTCCAGGTATTTCTTCTCATTGACATTCCATCTGTGTTGACACGTAATAACTGATGATAACTCCTGAACCTACAGCTATAGCGGGAGCACCCTTGGTAACAATGGGGCTTTTCATTTTCTTGTGGACAACCTACAAAAGTATTCACTGCATCGTCCCGATGATCGGAAGTGCACTTTTCGGAGCTGGGTAAGTAGCCCTATCAATCCACCAGCGAACTTCAACCAGGACTATAAGATATCGCCTGAATTACAACCTATGGTAAAGAAATGCGTCTTTAATCTTATTATAATAGCACAATTCTGGTCTATTCGGGGATCTTTACGTTTCTCATCGACGCTTACCCAAGCTACGCTGCCAGCGCCTTAGCGGCGAACAGCTTTACTCGATCGACATTCGCAGGAGCCTTCCCACTGTTCGGGACCCAGAGTGAGTTCGCAGTGATGACCACTCATGGAAAAAAAAACTTACTTGTGTCTTATTGTCAGTGTATGAACGCTTAGGGCTACACTGGGCCTCGTGTTTGCTCGCGTTCCTTACTTTGGTGATGTTGCCGTTCCCGTAAGTGGCTTTACCATCATTGTGCGAGATACTTTCATGACTGATAAATCTGCGGGCGATAGGTATATATTCTACAACTACGGGCCACAACTTCGCAAAAGAAGCCGATTTACCTCGTAGTCGGCTTGCTTTGCTGTCTGTTCTGGCCGCACTTACGCGAGAGCCATGAGTACCGCGCCTTTCCAATGTTCTGGGGAAGCGGGATTATGGAAGATTTCCTGGTGAAATACATGTTTTCGAACTTTGGGTGCACATTTGGTTGTCTTCAATGGCAACCATGGTTTAGGTCTTAGATGCGCGGTGGAGCTTCTAGAAGCTATTAGAGCGGGATATATTAGGTATAGATATAATAGACTTAGACATAGATTACCCAAATTAGCCGATAGATTGTAGCTTGGAATCTTCTGCGTATAATCTATTAGGTCATGGAACGGAAACGAATCGTTCAACAATGCAACTACCTCTACGTAAGATGTGAAGCATGGTAGCTTATTTATGGGGGAGTGGTGATAGTACGACTATTACAATCCTATAATTGTACAAATATAAATGATGTTAACTATGTTACTCAGTGTAAGCCATAGAGATTGCGAACAATACAGATTGTTTTCCGATGGATTCCGTTAATCGGTATGGCGGATGACACAAATGATCGTTGGACTAGAAAATAGTGAGAAGCCACTCCAACGGAATTAAGGTTTACCACGATGCGTTCGTAGTAGAGTATATAAATATTATACACGATGCTCAAGGCTCCAAGAACTGAAGCAATATGTGGTTGACAATTGAATCTACTTCTGAAGCTGACTAGTCCAACCTCTCACGGAACAAATGCTAGCTGTACAAGAATACAAAATCAATGGATCATTGCTCAACTAAAGATCCTCCACCCTTGTTGGAACATGTGTAAGGGTCCGAAGCCTGCAAACTCCTCGACCCCGGCTTCCGCAAAAGACAGATTATACCAGGCATCATCCTGAACTATACTGGAACGGGTTGTGAATGTCGTACTAACGGGCTCTGTATTAAATTGATCGAGATCATAGTCATTAGATATGATTGACTGTGGAACCTGTGGTGTAGTATCGACTTCTATAACGCTCCGGTCGCTCACCAAGGGGCCCTGATATTCGTGCGAGGGGCCTGTCGGCGATGACAGTCTTTCATGGGCATTAGGCCGCACGTTCTCCGTAGTTTTTGATGGTAGAGGGTCCGACAACAGTGGATTAGTCTCTGATGGGTTACAACCGGAGACTCTAGTGGCGTGTGGACCGGTCTGCTCATTTTGTGATCTGCAGCTAGATAAATGGAGCTGCAGTGCAGCATCAAGCGTCACCCACTACATATTATGATGTTAGAACTATGGTACAACTAACAATCTCCTAGTGTTTACTCACAGAATGGTGTAAAGCCCTCCAATAAACTCGCAGTGTGTTGAGTAAACGAAGAGTCCCCTTCACAACCGATAATCCATGACTCTCTGGATGCGAGCCGTGGCCTATTCTTTGCGATTGTTTGCATTTGCAGGAGATCTCAATGGCCAAGGAAACACTACCTGTGATAAAAGCACCATAGCCTACAAAAGGCGGTAGAAGCGTGGCATCACCTTTCCCATACATATAAGGAGCTAATAGTGCTTCGAACATACCGACTTGTTCTATAACAATCTCGGCACTTTGCTTCACAGTTTCGGAGTCTATCGTGGGCTCACAGCGAAGACCAGAAAATAAAGGAACGACCATTGAATGCAGAGTGATTTGGCATTGGTGGTAAAGGGCTTTGATGAATAGTACCAGAGGGGTGCTCTCCACGCCATGGACGCTGCGAGAGTTTTCTGGATCCCCGTTGGCTATTGTAGTATCAAAGACTGAGGTTGCCAAGCGTGAGAGTCTTTGCAGTGAATCGAGATGCTGGGCAATGCTGGAGGAAGCGCAATCGCGAACCATGAGCTGAACTTTGGCCCTAGGGAAAGAAACGGCGAAATGCATTCAGCATCAGCAAGAAACGAATAAAAAATAGTGTAAAATGTTGGATAAACTTACCACACACCGACCATTTTGACCAACAATGCTGCCGCTACAGGAGAGCGAGTATTCTTGTACTGAGATCCCACCAGGCTTGAGCACCAATTATGGTCCATCGTCTCACCCATAATAATCTTGTGACCGGAAACTACATGTGATATAGCAGCGGGAAGTGGGATCATCGAGGCTTCTTGCCAGGATGATCTGACGTACGGCTCCGGTTCCATTACTATACATGTAGATATCCAGCATGCCCAAAAACATCGCCGCTGAAGCTCTGATTCAAGCGAGATGTAGGACGTTTCCATCCCATCAACGATCTTTTTGTTATATCCAAGGAGATCACACGAACGGTAGGCCATTGCTAGGACAACCTTAGCAAACGGTCTCGATATGGAAAGAGCACTCAAATATCATAACAACATGAAGCATTCCGAGAACGGGGATACTAGACGAAACATACCAAGACATATATGACCAGTTCTCGGTTCACCGATCCCAAACAAATACAGTTGTAAGCAATGAAGCGCTTGCAGAAGCGTCAGAGATGGTTCTATGCAGATCGATGACATAGCTTCCCTTAAAGCCGACTTTGCCCATGGAAGCCCGCAGGATGAATATGCGCTCAAAAGTCTCAATTCCGACCATGCGATCGGTTCCTCATCATTGTCTTCGTTTTCCCGAGCAAGAAATCTTCGTCAATAAATTAGCCAACCAGTCAAGAGGTAGAAGTGGCAACATACAACGTCGCCAACGCAAATAAAGCCTTGAGAAGGACCCCAGGGACCTTTTCGTCGAGATATTGCTGGAATAGGGTAGATTTACAAAAGAGAACGGATGCATTGTATATTCGCGTGAAATAAATGTCTAGTAGGGACAGCCCAAGGGCTCGAGGTGGCAGAGGCGGCTGGTCTACATCAGGTATTAATCCCTCTTGCATCAAACTCGTGTTTTGCAGGTGAGTTGGGTATGATTGAGAAGAAATATTGATGGACTCGAGCCCGTCTGTAAGGTGGCTAGTTCGAGCCGCAGAGTGTGGGGTTGAGCTGATAAGCTCCTCTTGTGCTTCGCTATTCGGCCAAGCGAGTCCCTCTTCATTTTGAATTTCCCTACAGTGAGAGGAAGCCAGATTGTTGAGGCGAAAGCTTGAGCTGACAGTAGTCTCTTGTGCGCCAGAAGCGGAGGCATTGTCACGATACCCACGTTGGTCAGGGCGGGCTACCTGGCGCACGCCGCGAGAGCTACGGCGCAATTTCCGACCCCGGCGAACTGCGGGACTGGGATATATACAACGGGTTTGCAACCGCTCGCACCGAGCGCATGAAGGACGTTCCCGGCTACATCGGAGCTATCACAATGACAGAAACGCTCAGCACTGTATAGGGTGATCCTGCAAAAATCGCCGATTTACCTACTTTCTGATCTCGACAACTCTGGCACGCGGTTATAGAGTGTTGCACGTTCTGATTCGGTGTAAGCGAGCCTGCTTGCATATCGCAATAGTCCGTGGATATATGTTTGGCAATAGGAGAGATGAAGGATCTCAAAGAGTCGGACTGAGTCTCGAGTTGTCTCACCGCTTCAATCACCGCCGGTGGCTTTTTCTGCCATACTTCGGGGCCCTCGCGCACTCGGCCCGAATCGAGGTGGGAATAATGACCTGCATAGTGTGTGACAATGTCTGGTAGGTAAACAGGAAAACCATCCAGTAATCCCTGTACTTCTAATGAGGGACCTGGTTCCTGCGACCGTTTTGGGCATTCTTCTGAATGCTTTCGCCATTGGCGAAAACCCGACTACGCTGTTGGGTGCTTCTGATTATGGTGTAGAATGATTGATTCTCTTAAGCTACGGGAGCAGGATGCTGCTAAGTTCTACATACAAAGCGGTGAAAGGGGCGGTGCAGTAAGGTAGGCAGAAAGGAACAGGAGCGACACGGAGACATAATAGTGGAATAGAACCGCAACATCTGCTGCCTGGAGGTGTAGGGATTTTAAGCTGCACTGTAATTTGAGCAAGGATCTGCTCAGGATTAAAAGGAACTAATCCAGTTGCTCAAAAAGCGCTATAAATATTGCTGCTAGTAAAGGCCTGCATGCAGGCCTTAGAACAGGGTGATAAAAAGAATTATCTTTATCAATATAATTGATCCCATAGTGTATTTTAGATTCAACTGATTTTCTGTATGCCATTTTTAGAGATGAAAAGCAGGTAATATCAAGAGTTTGAAGCTTATGAGAAGCATGAGCAGGCATACAGATTGGTATAATATTATTCTCTGAGCAAATTGTTACAGACCCTTGTCTAGTGCACCTTATCGGGGAAAGCGGACGCGCAAGGCAGAAAGTGATAGGACTACAATGACGGAAGGGAATGACGGCTACCCGAAGAAACACAATGGGGATAAGATAAGAAGGATCTCTAGGTCACGTGATACCTACTCCATGTGGAAGCGAGTGTATGCTTGTTCTATTGGGTGGCCGGAACGGCCAAACTATCTAAATAACTAGCTTACTAAACGATGACTAAGCGAGATCGGAGGACAACCGTATGTTCCAACAATAGATTCATATCAAACTCCACCCCCAATAAGCAAAACCCTTCGTTTATGCTCGACCGTCTCCCGCAACAAGGTCTTCAGCATGGTACTATACATCCGCAATAGCGTGCGTGAATCCTCACTACTCTGTCTGACGGCGCTCCCCACGCATAGGAATCCCTCCAGCACGTACGAGAGCAAGGGCGGACTTGGCTCCCGTATTAGTGCTGCTGTTGGGATGCCCGCAATCTCGATGCTGTATGTGTCTCTGAAGACGCACGTGGCTGGATCGAGGGCGGAGGGTGTGATGCAGAAGAGCTGCGCAAAGATGCATGCTGCCTGCTCCATGGCTTGCTCGTGCGGCTGAAGTGGGGGGTGTGATTGCAACAACTCCGAGCGCTTAGCCATATTCGTTACAGAAAGTAATAACTAGTGCCCACCTGGTCTTCCTACTCTACAAAATGTCACGTCACATGACATACCCCTAGTATTTATAGGCAGGCGCTCATTCAGCTGGCTGACCTGCAACTTCCCTCCAGCACAATCTCTTGCATCAGTGGGTGCTCTGATGATGGCCTCCACTGCTTTTAATGCGACAAACCATGGTCTCCAGATTGGAAACAATTCCGGTTCCATCACAGCAGAATTTCATGTTGCGCGGGGTAATTTCCATGTGATTTCCAGCGGAGTGAATGGGAGCTAAACGCTGTTGATAGCGTACACCACCGAAGACATCGATCGAATCTGTCTCCATGCTCTGCGCTGCCCGGACTCCCTGGCTGTAAAGAATCGGCTGAAAGAGAGCAAGGACAAGTTGGTTCACCACTCCATCCACTGGATTCTTCAAGACCCGCAATACAAGAATTGGGAAACTGGAGACGATGTCGGTCTGCTTTGGATCAAGGGGGGCGCTGGAAAAGGGAAGACCATGTTGTCCATCGGTCTTATCGAGGAGCTCGCCCGGGCGCAGGATGAATCTATCGTGGTAATATATTTTTTCTGCCAGAATGCGGACTATGAGCTCAATACCCTGGAAGCCATTCTCAAGGGGTTGATTTTGCAACTGGTAAATCAGCAAACAGAGCTGAAAGAATCACTCCGTCGCCGTTGGGACACCGTGCAGGAGTGCTTCAGCGAGAACGTAACCTCGTGGCAATCATTGTGGAACATTCTTTTTGAGATGTTGGCTCAGTGCAAGTACTCAAGGGTATATATGGTCGTTGATGCTCTTGATGAGTGTCAGGATGAGGGCATGGCTGACTTCCTCAAATCCATCGTCCGAAAGGGACTGGATCATCCGGCCAAAATCAAGTGGATGTTGACAAGCAGACCATGGGACGGCGCAGAGCGGGTGTTACTAGCTGGCCATGACCAGGTGCAAGTCAGTCTAGATGGGGAGGTCCATTCCCAATCTGTTTCTGAAGCTGTGAAGGCTTATATTACTTCTAAAGTGGAAGAGCTCAGTCGCCAGCACAGATATGGAGCGACCCTGAAGAGCGAAATCGAGACTGAGCTTACTGAAAGATCGGAGGGCACCTTTCTATGGGTAAGCTTAGTATGCAAGGCACTTGAAAGTGTCAGCCGAGATAAGGCTCTGTCCACAGTTCAAAACTTGCCGCCAGGTCTGCATCCGTTTTATGAACAGGTATTGAACCAGCTCAACGAGGGCGAGCGGGCTGAAGTACAGAAGTGTATGCGACTGCTCAAGGCCATGATGACGGTGTACCGACCTTTGAAAGTGGAAGAAGTTCCTAGTGTGATTGGCCTAACTGATGAAGAGGACACCATTAGAGCATTGGTTGATTGCTGTGCTTCATTCATCCGATTGCGGGATGACAATATCGAGTTTGTTCATCAGTCAGCTCGAGAATATTTGGCCGGAGAGAATGGGCTGTCTATACTCGACTCGCATGAACGCTTCGGACATGAAGAGATTGTCCTAACTTGTCTGTCTTATTTATCTGAATGCCTCAAGCCCAACCTCGTCGGACTGCCGCGGCCTGATGCTACTAGAGACTCTTTGGGAGCTTTGGGAAATGGAACAGGGGATAGCTTACTGTCCCGTGTGGACTATGCAGCTATGTTCTGGGTGTTACATCTAAAAAACACTAGCAACGACACCGACAAGAGTCAAGTTAGCATATTCCTTCACACAAAGCTGTTGGAATGGCTAGAATGCCTAAGCCTGTTGGACAGGTTACCAAAAGCCATTGAAGTGTTGAGAGCATTGGAGAATATATTGAAAGTGAGTTTTTTTTCTTTTTTTTTAAATTTCGGTGATGTCGACGTCTTTGCTCATCAACTTGACAAAGGATAACTATACAGCGTTGGCACTCGTGCAGGATGCTATGCGGTTTTTATTGCGACACTACCACACTTTGTCGCACTGGCCATTGCAGATCTACAGCTCTGCCATCATCTTCAGTCCTGAATCAAGTGTTGTGAAGAGAGAAAATCTACACAAAATTCCTGTGTGGCTGAGAGAAGTCCCTCCCATGGAGGACAGTTGGACGCCTATGATACAGACACTAACAGGTCATTCGAAGAGTGTTGGTATTGTCGCCTTCTCGCCTGACGGCAACCAGATAGCATCAGGCTCTGATGATGGCATGATTAGGCTCTGGGATAATATTACAGGCAGCCTTCAGAAAACGATATCAGGTCACTCAATGGCGATAACGGCTATGGCTTTCTTACCAGATAGCAAGCTGATCATAGCAGGCGCCCATGATAGCTCTGTCATGCTTTGGGATACCACCACAGGTGGCCGTCAGATGATAGCCGACCACTTCGGCCCAACTGGGGTCCACTATTCACACTTGCAGCCACCAGAGGAGGGCGAGACTTGGCCCACGGCCAGGGCATTCTCGAAAGATTGCAAGCAGATTGCAACAGCCGGTTATTATCGTAAAAATCAAGTTATCATGCTTTTTGATACTGCCACAGGGGGCCTCCAGAAGATACTTACAGGCCATTCAGACACATTCTTAGCTCTGGCGTTCTCACCAGACAACAGGCAGCTTGTATCATGCTCTTATGACCGCACAGTCAGGCTCTGGGATACTGCCACAGGTGACCTTCAGAAAACACTAGTCGGCCATACAAGTCGGGTTTATACTGTGGCCTTCTCACCGGATGGCGAGCAGATTGTATCGGGCTCTGACGACGCTGTCAATCTTTGGAATGCTGCAACAGGTGATCTCCAGAAGACACTGGCAAGCTCTGCTGCCCGGAGTGTGGCCTTCTCACCAGACAGTACACAGATCGCAGCAGGCTTTACTGATGGCACAATCCATATTTGGGATGCTGCAGGCAATCTTCAGAAGACACTAGAACGCCACTCAGGGACCGTTATGTCTGTGGCCTTCTCACCAGACGGCAAGCAGCTTGTGACAGGCTCTAGTGATAACACTATCAAGCGTTGGGATAATACGATAGGCGCCATTCAAAAGACCATAGGCCACTCATACAGTGTTGCCACCGTGACCTTCTCACCAGACGGCAAGCTGATTGCATCAGGCTCTGCTGACAAGACTATCAAGCTTTGGGATGCTGCAACAGGCGATCTCCAGAAAACACTGGAAGGCCATCTATACACAGTCATCGATGTGACCTTTTCACCTGACAACAAACAGATCGCCTCATGCTCCTACGATGCAGTCAACCTCTGGGATGCTACCACCGGCGACCTCCTGAGCTCACCTGAGAGCGAGGAGCTATTCACGAGTGTGGCCTTTTCACCTGACGGCAAGCAGATTGCATCAGGCTATGAGAACGGCATAATTAATCTCTGGGATACTGCCACAGGTGATCTCCAGAAGACACTGGCAGGCCACGCAAGCAGGTTTGAGACCCTGACGGGATTAGCCTTCTCCTTAATCCAGGTCACGACCCTGACCTTCTCACCTAATGGCAAGCTAATTGCATCAGCCTCCGATGATAGAACAATTAAGCTTTGGGATGCTGCAACGGGAGACCTCCAGAAGACACTAGACTGCAATCCAGAGAGCATGATTACGGCGGTTTCGGTGGCCCTTACAACAGGGGGCCATACAGACACAACAATCATTACAGTGGCCTTTTCACCAGACAGCCAGCAGATCGCAGCAGCCTGTGCTGATAAAACCATCAGGATCTGGAACATCAAGAAATCGCTCAAAGCCTCGAAATATCTGGGGCGCGCTATCGGTAGCCACATCAAGTCGTCCCGGCCATGGAAGGAGATTACGACGTCGGATCAGGTGCATACCATAGAATTCGCAGCAGGCAATCGATACCTTGAAACGGACATTGGACTAATAGCACTTGAGAGCACCCCGACAAAAGGAGAGGAGGAGCTGCCAGTGGGGTCGGATTCATTACAGAACCTCTATGTCAGAGATGAGTGGTTATGCTATGGAGCCATGCCCTTCCTCCGGCTATTGCCTGATTCCCAGGCTGACTCTTGGGATGCGCACGGCGATCAAGTGGCTATCGGATTCAGCAACGGTCTTGTTTCAAGCTTCGATGTTGATCGACGGAGTTTACAACCATACTGGGAAACACTTCAGCTATGACGGTATTACTAGCGGGTTACACTCGGTGGAAGTCGGGGTGGGGATGGAGTTAACCACGCAGGTTCCCTTGACTGTTGAAGATTCAGGGTCTGTCAGTGTCAGGTCAGATGCGGTTTTTCAGCATCTGTGGCCCTTTTTTTCTTTGTATGTCGTTCCTTTTTTGTAGCAGTTGTGGAAAGTTTACATCAATCGATATCTCTCCATCATCTCACTATGATTTTCGAGAGCCCCAGGCCTGTTTCCTCTTTATCAGTTGCTCTGGTTTCCTATGGACGCCGGGGATACTATCATTGTTAGGGTCCACGATAGTAGGTGAAATTGATACCAATATTAGTATGCACGAGAGGAACGTGGAACGCACGTTCTGTGGATTCCCTGTTACCTGCCATGCTACCCGATTACATGTGCCATGTGCCATGACGATACATTTAGCCTACACGTCGCGAGACTCTCTGCTTTCGTAAAGGATTGCATTCACTAATCATTTTTCGGCAGAAATGTCCAGAATGCCAGTCCACCCTGTTTATCTTGAACTGCTACCACATACCAGACGGAATCAGGAACTGCCAAAGCGAACACCGCTAATCTTGCCGGAATTGTTTCCTACCTGAAAGCCAGAATTCGCCCCCGAGAACACCACACTGTTGGTGTAGGTGGTGGTCGATTCGATGACTTTGACAACCGTGTCACTCAGCAGCTTGTCCTGGCCAGCAGCGACCTCTTTCAGTAGCGAAAGAGCGCCCTCGTTCGTGTTCAATCCGGACACCTCTTCCTCACACAGCTTGCGCTGTTCTTCCTGGATTCCCGGGAAAAGATCGACTAGCCCGTCCACCAATTCGCTGATGTCTTCGATCAGCCGGCTGAAATTCTTCTCCTCGTACAGAATAGTCAATCGGCCCTGCTCCAACTCAAACTTGCCCTGCCGCGTCTTAGCGAGATCTTCCATCTTCTGGTGCAGTGAGGCTGAGACGCTGTCTAGCTCTTTGACCGCGTCCAGCACTGGAACGGTGCTGTTGCGTCTGCGTAATCGCTTCGAAGCCGCCTCGGCTTCCGCAAAGAGCTCCAGGATCTGGGCCAGAAGGTCTTGGACCTCCTCTCTATCTTCGGAGGCGATGCTCTTTATCTGGAGTGGGTTCACACCGTCGTCCACCTTCGCCAGCCCAACGGACTGACCCCATCGAGTCAACCGGAGCCGCACGACGTCCAGTTTCAACAAACTCATCTGGAAGCTGTGCCCGAAATTGGCGCCCATCTGAATATACTCGAAGCTTTGCACCGCGTCGTTAAACAACCGAGATTGCTCGTCCAGCATCTGGATCATGGCGTCCTGTTTCGATTCCAGCGCTTGGTTCTGTTCGATGATCGTCCCCGTGTCGGATTGGATGGCCTCCATTCGTCCATCTATCACAGTGACCTGCGCTACGAGGAACTCGACGTTCCCGTTCATGCTCTGAACAACCTCGTCTAGGATCTCCACCGTCCGAAGCGTGGCCAGCCCAACGGCCTGGGTCAGCTCATTCACGGCCTCCTCCATATCGCTGATGGCCCCCGAAAGAGCCCCATCAGATCCATCAACCAAATTGCTAAACCACTTCTCTAGATGAAAGGACATAAATCAACACCCGAAACAAGAAGAGAGCGTGATCAAGGAAGAGCGGCTTTGCTCACTGAATCTTTTTTTCTCGGCGTATTCCTGGGCCACGGAGCAGATGGTCAGCATGCCTGAGAAGACACGGGCAACGCAGCGCTGGAACGGCCGTTGCTGTGGAGATTTCTCTTCGATCATCGAGAGCCGGTCGAAGAAACGATGCGTGAAGTCGAAAAACCCCATGATCTTGTCGTAGTCGGCAGATACCGTGGCAAAGGACTAAGGGCGTCAGTAGAAATGGTCATTTTCTCCTTTCCCTTCAGAAGTCCCGTACGTACCTGCATGACCTGCCCAAAGGCCGTGAAAATCAAGCTGGCCGGCATTGCGGGAGGAAAAGCCTGTCACCCATCCATCCCCTCATCAGCATCAACGGCATCCACGGGACGCTGTTAATATAGTATAAGAGAACGTACTGATGCAGCAGACCCAACCGTCTCGACAGTATTGACGACCTTCTGGATCAGCCATAGGTTGTTTTTCAATGCGGTCCGCACATTGTCTGTCTTCGACCGGTCATGCCGGAAATCTTTGAACTCGTTCGACAAGCCTTCCGTGCCCTTCATAACTTGGTCTATGTTGCTGAACTGTGCCAGGTGGAGACTCTTCTTGGTCCTTTTCTCGTAGTCTTCGACTGCTCTCTGCCATAGTTGAGCGATGTCGGACGCCTGCCCTGTGTCGATTTCTCCCCGAGTATCCATTCTGGAGCAAGTGTGAGAGGGAAATTACTTGAGCGAGATTGAAAGAGTGAAAGAGGTCTGGGAATATGTATTGGGAGACAATATCACTGTGTGAGAGCAGTCATTCTTTGTGTTACACCCAGCAGAGCTGAGTGCAGCACCTCATCTCATTTTCCACAATGTGGCATGCATGCTAAGCTGGGAGATGACAACTCAACTGGCCAACCAATTGAGAGCTAACAGCTGTCGCGACCACTACCTGGGGCACTTGGCCTCAAACAGCAACACTCGAGTGCGGGGTAATTCTGTCTGTTAAACATTCAACATTCAACATGATTGCGGTAATAATGCCCCGCTCCAGCTTGAGGCTGTGCGACGAGCGTGACCCTCCAGCTGAAACCTCCAAACTGAACGGGGAACCTTAGGGTCATGATGGGTAATTCCCCTCCAACCCGGTGATAGTCCCTCTTCCTCAGACGGTATACTTACTTTCTCTGCCACGTGCGCCGGTGACAGGACATCGAGGATCAATGGTCACGGAGTAGATTGTCTATTGTAAGAATTGCTCGGAGCGGCCCCGACTTCTTGATACCGGGCGTACCAACATAATTAGTTAATCGGGCAATGTAACGTAAGCAGCCGCACGTTTGGCCAGCCGCAATCCGGTAGGAATTGATAGGTGAGATCTTATTGAATTAGAACAGCTCGCCCCCACTTATACGGGGTAGGGTATTAACTGAGCATATTCAGTCCAATAACAGAACTGCCCTTCTTGCCTCTTTGAATGTCCTGCATGGACCTGACGCACGAGACGTCAGGAAAGGCCGAGGCTTCAGCCAGCCACCATCATTAGTAAATTGCCCAACGCAAATCTGCCAATATACGAGGTGCTTCAGCCGCTTCGTGTAATTTTGGTAATGGAAATACAAGCTACCCAAGAGACAAACAAACAAATAGGAAGCAGATCTCACGATGAACGTTTTTATCTGGTTGTCCATTTTCCCACGCTTCTACCTCGGTCATATGTCGTCCTCCCCTCTGCCGGTCCTCCTCTTGCCTTGTGCTTTCAATGACCCTTAATAGTCGCATAGGGTCATCGATTGCTTGCTTTCTTGCTTGCTTGCTACCCTAGCTAGCTTTCGTTCCCACTCCATCCATCCATCTCCAAAATGTCCATCCGAGCTGTTCGGGAACCGGCCAACGCCAAAGTCGAGTAAGATCGCTCTAGTCTCTTTCTGTTCTGTAGCCCCATTCCATTCGAAATCTACATGCTTACCCGAAGCACCTGACAGCATCGTGTTTGTCCACGGCTTGCACGGCGACCAAGCACCGTGGACGTCCGAGGCCGATGTCTTCTGGCCCGACAAGCTCCTCCCGGCTAAGATACCCGACGCATGCATCCTGTCGTTCGAGTATCAAGCGGCTCTCGGTTCTTTCTTTGGCGAGGACGACGAAATCACGGACATTTCCAACGACCTGATCAACGAGCTGATGGACCATCGAACTGAGAAAGAAAAGGTTGGCCCGGCCCCACTCTACTCTACCAGTGCCTCTGAATCTAGCTGGTTGACGGGACAGAATAGGAAGAAAGACCGATCATTTTCGTCGCACATTGTCTCGGTGGCGCGGTTTTGGAGAATGTACGTTGCCCCCTTTTTCTCTGTGTGTATACGTGTGCATGTATATCGGCTTCAAATCCCTGTCCATGGAAGAATTCCCACTAACGTATGATATTTTACATATCCAGGCGCTGGTACGAGCCGCCGAACATCCCAGGAAAAGAGAACTCATCGGCTATATCCACGGTATACTACTGCTAGGGACACCACATTTCCAGAAAGGATCGCTGGCAGCAGCCACAAGGTATTTCCAAGTGGCTCAGGCGGAGATCCCAAGTGAGTCGGACCTGAAAGACCGGTTAGACCGTCTCAGCGGTATTCCCCAGTTGTTTGCCGGCCTCAAGCAAGCAGGCGCTGAGTTCGAGGTGGAGGGTTTCTATGCCGGAGCCGGCACCAAGCTGGGCGGCGGCAAGGACGTGAAGATCGTTGATGAGGCGTTGGCCCGAGGCCCCGAAGCTCCTCCCCCTGAGCGGCTGGCGCGCAATCAGCTACGGCTGAGCCAGTATGATAGCGAGGATGACAAGGACTTCAAGAAGGTGTCTCGTATTCTGACCCAGTGGGCGTCCAAGATTGTTCTCCCGGAGGAGGATAAGGGGGCAGCAAACGTGTCGAATACAACATTCTCAGGTTCCCACAATTCTGGTTTGCAGCTGGGGCAGAATGTAGGAACCCTCAAGGGATTCAGCTTCGGAAGAAGTTAGTTGGTCGATTAATTGATACTTCCAGATTTGCCACTCGAGTGATCTTTGATTGCTAGGTAGCTAACCCCATCTGCAGGGCCGCAGCATAGAGTAATATAGAGATTGTTTTTATATTGAAGGAATATGGGCAAGGTGAACCAAGGTCGAGTATCAGCATCCCGCGACGAGCAGTTCTCGAAAGTCGGAAATTGGACGTATCGTCAAACCCATTACAAAGTTCCAACATCTATCAACACTATCAGGTCGCACACCATGCTAGCGAGTTGCCTCACTAGTAAAGCTGATTACCTCGACTGACTCGCCGAGAGCCTTGGTAGCATAATTAAAAATCCCATACCGATACTCCATAAAGAAAAGTTAATCCACAGTAAGTGTATAAAGAACCCCCAGATCTGTGAATTCTGTTCCATCCAAGCTGTACGAGACCTAGCCTCATTGGACCCAACAGCCGCAGCATCCAAGCTCAACTTCAACCAAACCTTGGTCGCCGTAATCGGCGCCCTCGCTACAATTGTCCCCGTGCTTGTCATGCCCCCGTACTGTCCCATCATCAGGTCCTGCACAGCAGCCAAGTGATAGTCCCTGCCGTTTCGAACGACGCCGATCCATGCACTCGCGTCCTTGAGCGCAGCTAAGCCGCAGTGGTCTCCGTCCGTCATGTTGCTGAAATCAAGCTCGACGACTCCGTACGGTCTTGCCCCGTGGATCCGATGCGTTAGCGTGTTTCTCGCTGCGTAAAGGTCGTCCGTCACAGTTACAGTCCTCGGCAGTCCAGGGCTATTGAGCGTGAACCTTGTCGTGTCCAGGTTGTGGTTCCACTGCCAGGCGGGCACAAGCACTTCACCCTCGAAATAATCCACGCCCATCCAGGACGGAACGGCCTCGGGTACGTCACCCCCCACGACCCATTCACCGTGCCCAGCACCGGAAACCCATCCTCGCCCCACGTAATTGGCGCCAGAACCGGCACGCGACCGAGCGGGTAATTCCACGCAAAGGACATGAAGTACCACTCCCCCGTCTTCTTGACCTCCGCCAGGCTCCCCTGAATCGGAACTCCCGTACCAGGAACCGGCGACGACATAGTGCTGCTATCGACGAGGATCCGCCGCTCATACGGCCCAAACGGATCCGACGCCTTCCACACCTCCGCTATGCCATCGCTGGGACCGTCGTCCAGGATATAATACGACCCGTTGATCTTGTACATGCGGTTCCCCTCGATACTCGCGCACTCCGCCGGGAAGCTAAGACCACCTGGGTCCTGACGACGCTCAGCCCGTCGCCGACAGCTGCGCGACGCTAACGCTGTTGCTCCCGTACGCGACGTACAGCGTGTCGTCGTCGTCGACCAGCAGCCCACAGTCGTAGAAACAGGGTTGGAAGCTAGTTGCCTGCTCCCAGGATCCTGTAACAGCGGGCGCGGCGTAGACGTATGTCGTCCAGACGTTTGCGCACCCGATCCAGAACCACTGGTTGGTGCTTTCGCGGTAACGCAGGGTTAATGCCCACGTGCCTAGGTTATAGGCCGTTTCGTTCGCGGAGGGGAGATCGTAGTTGGGACCGAAGTCGAGGGTTGGAACGGAGTGGGCTATGAGTTCCTAGTTGATGAGGTCTGCGGATCGCAGGATTGGGGCGCCTGGGGAGTAGCGGAAGCTGGATGCTGAGAAGTAGAAGTACCCACCGGGGGCCGCGGGAGATGTCGTTGTCGTGGAAGTCGTCGTAGATGATGGGGTTGGAGAAGCTTTGTACTTGGACGAGGAATGCAGTGCTTAGCACTGTGACCAGTAGGAATGGTCGCATGATGACTGAAATAGGGCAAGGTAGCTAAAAAGCTTTTACACCTTCCGAAAGTGAGCTCTTCTATAGGCAATCCAACTCTGGTGCGGAACAACAAGAGTCCCAGTTAAACAGCCCCAGAATAGGCTAATCACGGCTTTACCCGGCTGGAATCTTAGGGGAGGCATCTTATTTGTAGGGAATTAGACTTGAAACACGGCCTGAGGGCCCTCAGCCCGGGGGTGGTCTGCGGGGAATTCTGCAAACTTTCTTCTGGGGTTGACTCCGACAGCATTCATTGGTGGCTCTGTATACACCTGCTCCTTAGGGCAAGGGCGGAGCACCTGCAGAGAGGGTTTCCACGTTGCCCTGAACAGCAGTTGCCTGCAAACAATCCAGGTCTCGAGTGGGGCTCCTGCAACCTGCTTATGTCGTATGCCGTCTTGATATTGGAATTCTGAAGTGAACCCTAGCCACGATGTCCCATTACCTACAACTTTCGCTTTTCAGGCGTCTGAAGAAAATCGGCTCTCGCTTCTCTCCGGCAAAAGTACGCTGACACGCATACCTACAACACGGATAACGAGCGAGAGGGTCAACTGCTTAGTTGTGGTGCCCCACCCCCTTTATCGACATCATCCCCCTCTGGACCCTGGCATATGTTGAGGAGCCATTAGTTACATACACTACTCTTCATTACTGTTTCCATTGTAGTTTCCTTGTTGCCTCCTTTCATCCGGAACAACTGCACGGCCCCAGTAGGCTCTAGCTGCTACAGCCGGGTGGGTATTCTGAAGACCTCGATTGCACTGCGAGCCGACCCTTAGATTATAGCTACTCGTCGGCTTTTATGGAGTTTTTGCAGGGCGGCGTGCTTAGAATGTAAAGAGGAGCTTGGAACTGCATATTTTGTTTATTCTTGCTGAGTTAATCCGTCCCGTTACAAGAAGTAGAGGGCTGTTTTTATTCTTTACCCCTTGGTGGTAATTAGACCCCAGAATACTTTCTTTACCATTACGGGAGTTTGCTTAGTTCTAATTCTGCTCTCGTTGGGTCTTTTTCTAGGTTGTTAAAAGAGATGAATGTCACATTTATGCTCTGGAAATAACCAGCCCCTTTGTTATCTGGGTATGAATATCAGGATAGTATCTAGTGGCATACAATTATTACTGGAGGACTATATTAACAAATTAGTTAATTCTTTTGGGCTATATAATACTCACCTAACTAAATCACTGCTTGATCCTTGAACTGTAATAGGTGATGCTCCTGATTCAACAATAAATATCAAGGAATATCAGTACGGTATAGGCAGCCAGCAATATCTCGCTATAAAGTCTAGGCCGGATATCAGCCATGCAGCTTGCTTCCTTACAAAGTTCAATACAGTGCCTACAGCTAAATACTGGGCAGCTCTGATGCATGTGCTTAAATATCTGAAAGGCACACGCGCTCTAGGAATCAAATATTATCGAAATCAAATATTTATATTTAATAAAGAACCCTACTTCTAGTCCCGACACGTATAGGGGGTATACGGCGGGACCCACCTGCTTGTTATAGACATAGCGGGGGTTAGGCTGAACCACTAAGCTAAAAAGACCAAAATATCGAACCTCTTGTTCGATATGCCTAACGACCACCTATATATGATGTTATCATAACAATGTGGAGAAAGAAACCTCGGGAAACCAGAACAGTATATGATACTCTTAATTAGTCAAGGCAATTTAGCATATACACTTCGAGACAACGGTCTACAAATTTATGTTTCCTTAATAAGTAACAATATTTATCGTTGGGCGGCGCACCTCGGTACATAAAGCGCAATTAACGCTCTTTTTTATCACTGAAAACGTTAGATAGAAAGCTATCTAATGTCTTCAGTTTAAATAGTCGATCTTAGTATGACGACGTGACTTGATAGATTACAATATACAATCTATATAAGCCACAAGGATGGATTTTAGTCAACAAAATTAGGGTTAGAAGTATACATACTAAATAAGAACCGAGTGTTATCCGTTTTCAGACACAAAGTATTATGATTAAACAAGTAGACGTCATAGACATTCAGATTATGACATAAATATGAGCAGGAGACTCTCAATCTTTAGGCTATATAAAGTACTTTGTCCGCGCATTAATTTGCCTAAATTTTTTAATCAACAACTCACAAACTTCTCAAAAAGAGAGAAACCATAATTACCCTCCAATCAAAGCTATAGAATATATAATATTTCTATACCAATAATGCAAATCATCAAAGCCATTATACTCCTGGCAGCAAAGTATGTGACTGCTTTCTATCTCCTTATTGTATTAATAAATATATTAACTTTGTGACCAGCTTCGCTGTCGTGCACAGCTGCAAGTGTTGGCCTTGGGGTGCCGATTCCCCTTCTTCCGAGTTGACAGAATTAGCTTGCCGCAATGCTGCTGGCACTTTTGATGGCCGTGATGTAAGTATAATCAGGGTGTTGACTGTTAGATTGTTCTCTATATAGACAAGTATATATGTTAATAAAATTCTAGTGTCATGACATAGGTAACAGCATGTGGACATTTGCAAGGGCTTGTTGGTTTCAGGACTCATGCAGTGACTGCAAGCACGGCTGTCATTAGTAGTACTAAGTATCTATGCCTCTTGCTGTAAGAGATAATCGTCTAATGCAACAGTTATTACAATCTGTAATAGTGTGTGTTATTTAAATGATAAATCTTTTACATAGTCTTAAAAAATGTGAAGTTATGTAATCACATGGTACAGCACCCTGCTTTCTACTGCTTGGTTGTGGATTACACCAACCTCTCGTGGGCAACCGCAAACTGAGAATTAAGTGGAATGCTATGTTTAATGCACACTGCACATACATATATACCTTAGATATTATGCAGCGCGGATGAGTAGATAATAGGTAAGCTGAAGATGGAGGAATTACCTGAAACAACTTCATTGAATTTTTGTCAGTGTTCAATCATACACCTCAGATCCACGATGCGAAAGCGGCTGTAGGAGACCGGCAACTTTTACTACTCACCAGCTAGGACTGTACAATCACCTTATGCCCAGAAGAAGACAGTAACCATACACATGGTATATAACCTAAGCTATAGAGAACTATCAGCTAGCATGGATAACAGGACAGCATAGGCCAGCAGTGAGCCTAGGCGACAGAGCCTCGCCAATTGAAGTGCACTTCCAAGGTTGGATGGATCGGAGACCATGGTGGCCATGGGTACTAGGATTCGTGACCTACGCAGCCAGCAATTAGTAGAGGCCCTAGACAGATTGATTGAAGGCCGGACTGACCATGGGTCTGACAATTGGCGTCGAAGTTGGATATTGGTGAGGTGCCGAGAGTCCGGTGTCCGAGGGAACTGGCCTGAGCGCAGTGGACAGTGGACCAGGCACCGAGATCCACCGGCAATGATCGCCGTGCCGTAGGCCTTTGAGACAAGGCCTACGGCACGGATGTTGCTGGTTCAAGTAGCCTTCTTATACTTTCTCTTGAAGCGTCGATAACATGATTCTGCCTTGTTATCGGAAGCGAGATAAAGTCTTCCACCCTCAATCCCACTTCTAGGCTGCTGACGTGTCCATCTTCATCTAAAACTATCGCCTGAAGGTCGATGGCCATTTGCCTGGGCCAATCACATACAGTAATTGCAGCCCCAAGCCTCACGTCTCAAACATCCTACGGACCCAGCGCATTTTATGAGCCAATCTGCAGAGATTGGCCCGGGATGAAAGAAATGCGGCAATTTTGCCATTGGATAAGAAATAATGGAAGAGCCCAGATTCAAATGGGCCCTGGGGGCCAAAGGGTAGTCCCAGAGGGGAAGGGAAACCCAGACCGTCGTAGCTGAGCTGAGGCTATGCTTTAAGGATGCATGCCGTCCCCCGGCAGCCGGATGAGCGGGATTTTGTTTTGCCATGCCATCTCCATACGCAGTCTCCTAGGCGCTGTAGATAAACCAGTAGAGGCAAAATATAAGTGAGCGAGAAGATAAACCAGAGAGGATGGAAGATATCCAAAAAGCTATCAATCGATCAATTCGCGCACAATCATCCCGACTGACCGCAAGATTGAGATAGCCCAATCCTACCATAAGCAAAATCGCACCGTCAGGTGGTACACTGTGTAGCAAGAAACCAATGAAGTGACTGTATAAAGTTCCAGGTCCACTAGATGGCTTGTCAGGGACGCCGTAGTTGAACAACGACGAGAGGGGATGGACAACACCATACTGAAAAAGGACAGTCCTCGGATAACACTGCATCTTCTGACAGGGGAAAAAGGGGCAGTGCACCGGGCGAAAGAGACTGGAGAAAGGGGAGAAAGGAAGAAGAAAGTGCGTCGTCGTTCGAGGGAGAGATGTTTGGGCTTATATAGATAGTGCGGGCCGAATGAGGCGGCAGGGGAAACGGGCAAAAGCGGCGAGAAGTCCGCGCGATCCCCAAAGCAGGAAGCACTATACCGCAACGGGCAATTGGATGTCCCTGGGCGGCAGGCGGTGGGGGGTGGCAGATGAACGGTGCAATGGCGGCCGTTTTCAGTGCCCCGCTAACCGTGTCATTATATACTAGAGTGTGCAGCATGCCCTAACACACGCACTTGCTCTGCTGTGCCTCAGGCTGATCAATAGGTGGGAACTTACAGTACTGATAGATTAATTTAATTAGCTTATTGGTCACGTACTGAAGTTGACCCACTACGAGTTTGGGCAGATGCGGCCGACGGGAACCGTGGGCATATATCTATCGTGCGCATGGTCGGTCCATTGATCAGACAATGTACGCCTGTTTTATCCACTGCATGTGTGGAGTGAGTACATATTTGTAATGGGATCCTACGAATTCCTAGAGAAGGTTAGTAGTGCCGCTTCAGGAAAGGCCGCGTTGTATAGGTATCCTATTGGCGGGAAGATATATCACACCCCTGTGCTGACCTGCGCTGACCTGCTGCTGACCAATGGAGATCTCGCCCAGTCACGGGCCGCCAGGTCGAATCGCCTGCGGTTCCGGCAGCATCATTGGCGCAAGGCCCCTCCCGGTGAGACGTCTAGATGTCTCGGCGGCTGCACCTCGCTCGCTAAGTAACAAGCTGACTGGTTACGGGTGCGAAGTGCACATGACCTCTATTGTTGATGAGGGGATCCTCCACAGACCATTAAATGATGTCACAATCTTTGTTTAAGATTGGCCCCGCCTTGATCTGTATCCGCGAGATTCTATTGCTACATCCTCTGTATTGGTTTGTCATATTTTGAGCTTTTCTGTCTCAGTGATCACCTGCTTGTGAGGGTCAGAGCCGTCCGACGACCTGATTTCTGGTTGGAACTTCCTAAGTCAGCAATAAAAGCTGCCGCCATTGAAGTAAAAAGGCCTGGCAATAACAATATAATGACCAGCTTTCCAGGCAGCCTACATTTACATAGTGGCCTAATCATGAAGGCATATCATGAATGCCTACCAATGGCGCAATATACAATTAAGCCTACATGTCTTGGGTAAGCACAGAAGACATACTTCTCAAATGGTTGGCCTGCTAGAAGAAGTTCCTCATCAGGGCAACATAGTTCATGGTTGCAAGAATTTCTTAAGTACAGCCACAGGTTCCAATACCAGAGCTAGAAGGCTGTTCATGTTCCCTCCAGTATGATAGAGTGGTAAAGTTATTCGGGAAACCTAGTGGGAAATGTCTTATTGGGAGGTTAACTCGAGGCAGGTGAGATCAGATTGTTGTCAGAGGAGATTTGCTAATTGTAGCAGGCCCTTCCGCAGCTGTAGGACAATACTCGAAATCCATGCAACCGCCAGTATCGAGCACGCAGCGTCCACCCTTGAATTTTTGACCCGGGCCACATTCTGGGCCTATGATAGATACACAGTCCCCAGTGGACCGCTCAAACTTCGTTTTATCCCGGCATTCCGGCTCCAGCTCCATAACGCATTTCCTACCGTCGAATTTCTGACCCTTGGGACATGTCGGCTCGTCTTGTGAGGCACAGTTTTCACCGTCAAAAGTGCCTTCCGCACAAGTCGGCTCACTGCCAACACAGGCTGTACCATTGAATGCAGTTTTTCCCTCGCATTTTGGAGTCTCTGGAGAAATGCATTCGCCCTTATAATAGATATACTCAGGGCCGCAGTCTTCAGCAAATTGGGTGCATCTGCCATTGGATAGATGACCCCCATTTTCACATACAGGATCTTGGTCACTAATGCACTCTCCACCATCCCAAGTATGATGATTTTTCGGGCACTTAGGTTCACCAGTGACACAATCTCCGCCAATGAACTTGCTGCCCGGGCCGCAGTTTGGCTTCTCCTTCATGATGCAGTAGCCATTCGCGCCAAGCACGCCTTGATCGCACTGGGGCTTGTGCTCTGCTATGCATTTATTGCCTACCAGGGTCATATTTGCTGGGCACTGTGGGTCACTACCAGTGGCACAGCCGTCTTCGCCATCATGATTTCCCTGATCACAGATAGGATGATCGCCTGTATAGCACTTTCCTTTATGCAGCTCTTGTCCATCCGGGCATTTAGGGTTCTCCGAACTAATGCAGAGACCATCCTTGAGTATGGCTTTGGAATCCTGGTGGCATTTTGCTGGGGTTTCCGATATACACTGGTCTTTGATTAATTTGAAGCCGTCGGCGCAGGTTGGTTCCTCACGCATAATACACTCTGAGCCCTCAAGAGCGCCTTCGGCACATTCAGGTTGATGGCGGGAGACACATTGGTCATCTTCTAATTTGCCAATTCCATCACACTTTGGCATTTCACCTTGGGCTCGACAGCGCCCACCAACTTTTGTAGTCCCTTGGGGACACTCTCCGTCGGCTAGAGGACTGATTCCGCACTCTTCGCCGTCCCAAACCAGGCCATGCGAACAACAGCGAGACGTGCCGGTAGATTTGCTGACCGAGAGAGTCATTTCTGGCGCGCAATCTGGGTCTTGGCGTGAGACGCATTTGTCTCCCTCCACGTCGTATCCGGGCGCGCAAAACGGCCCGTCAGGAAAAACACACTTCTTAATCGTCCTGCTAAACTTGCCATCATTTTGACAGACAGGTTCCTCATCTGAAATGCATAGATTCCCTTTCATGTGACTTTTTCCCGGGCATTTTGGACCTTCAGGGAAGACACATCGTCTGAGTTCTTTGCTGTACTTATTCCCCTCAGTGCACTGAGGTTCCTTAGTGCTGATACATACTCCATCATGTAGAGTCGCCTCCTTAGGGCATCGAGGCTTGTCCCCACTCACACAGTGCTTCCCATTGAAGTGCTCCTTTCCAGGGCACCGAGGCTGTTGTTTTGATACGCAGAGTAGTCCCTGTACCTCAAGGTTATCTGGACAGGTTGGTGGGAAGTCAGAGATGCATATTTTCCCTTTGTGTGTTGTTCTTTCGGGGCATTTAGGGTCAGATTCGGTGACGCAGACGTTCCCTTTTAATGTTCCCTTCTCACAGTAAGGCTTTACAGTCGAAACACACTTGTTAATCTTTTCGCGGAACACTGCGTTTGGTGGACAACTTGGGATGCTTGCTGGAACACATGATTCACCGTTGAATTCTGTGTTGTTTGGACAACATTTGACCTCGCCCGATTCCACGTCTGTTTTCGGCACAATTATATCAAGCGAGTATTTGGTACGGCTGAGGCACAGAGGTAGCTGGGGCTGATTTGGTTGAGCTAAACAAACACGAATAGTGAGGAAAAGGGCCGGCAAAATAAGGGCCGATATGCCTGATGCCTTCATTATGGCAATGCTAGTGAAATATTCTGACGATTATGTGTGAGATGGTGGTGTGTCCAGGAAGCAGTTGGTATGGCAGTCTTATATATTTTCTCTCGAGCTGACATTGGGCGATTTCAGGCTCAAATCAGTCCTCCGAATGCAAGAATCCTCAGGGAGGTTCGGTCTTCGTTTTCTTCCTCCTTAGGCAAGAGGTGTGGATAGCCGAGGAAAATGGGAGGAGACGAATAGGAGCTGAGAAGCAGATGGACCCAGCTATGCCATACCTCGAATTGGTAGGCTGTATGTTTCCCTGCTTTAAGCATCCTGCCACCTGATGCAGAGCTATCACGAGAACTGTCCACTACATTCGTATCCCTTCTTCCTTTGTTCAGTCCGTGCCATTTCTGACTAACAAATAAAGGAAGGTGGTAAACTCTATCCATATATCTTCCTGCGTCGGGAAACTTCTCAATTTGTGACCCTGCAGGTAAGACACCAATGCTGCAACGGACATATATTTGCAACCAGTATATTAAAAGCCGAAGGAGAATTACTTGCCTGGGTCTATCACAGCTACGTAAACTCCCCTTAGATATAGCCGATATACCCGATTGGATGCTGGGTATTTTGACGGTGAGACAGGTCCTAATTAATCCAAGTCGCACAGACAAAAGTGGTACGCCACAGCAACGGATATATGCACGCAAAACGAGGATTTTGCTCTTTCGGTGTGTGAATAAGACTTGAAGAACCCTGCAATAGAGCGGCCAAAGTTTAGTGCATTACCAGTAAAACCTAGTCTTCACCTCATTCAGAAGCCAATAAGAGTACCATATTACGCGACGTAAAGCATAGGACAGTTTGAAGGGAAAGAGGGACTTAATTTCATTCGCTGCTTCTAGATAAGACCATATATTACCATACATTAGCATGTGCTGGAAGAGCTGAACTAGGTACAGGTAAGGTCGTAGCCAGGCAACCCGCGGCCTTGGCCACGCTACTGGCTGAGTTAGGCACCAGTGCAGGACTGCCAGCTACCTTCTAGATCGAAGTAAGTTGCAAATGATAGCTTTCAACTACTTGCTCCTTGATAGTATTGCTTTGATTTGTAACAGCTAGGGGATTTTAGGAAGCTCACTGGTGGTCCAAGGCACGATCATGCAGGCTTCGTTTGCAGCAGTCAGGCCATGCGAGTTCACATGATGGACAACAGGCAATGAAAGATTATGTCGAATAACCAAAACCTGTCAAGACATACAGACTAGGCTTACTTCATGCGAGTGTGCACATCAGCTTTCAGCCGGCAAAGGCTAGCTCCCAACTCTTGACTCTACCTAGCTTAGACCGGCGTACAAATAGACTTCAGCTAAGCCATCCTGGAATTCTGTTTGCGGGGAGCCACACATCACAATGCATTCCCTAACTTCTTACCAAAACTGTAACATCAACCATGTTACATAGCATGGTGCATGTAATATATCCGCGTCTCTTGAATTCACTCCTGCGTCCCTGAAAATCATTGCAAGGTTACTATGAAGATCAGGTTCAGACACTGCTTGCTTCCATTAAACAGTTCACTTGAGACTCTCCTCATGCAACACATGTACTTTGTAGGTCACCACAACGTCAAGTATTGGGGCAATGAGAAAAAGCAGGCATAGTGGAAGTTCCGATCAAACGGAGTAATAATCGTCTCTGCCAAGCTTCTTAGTAGCTCTGTTGAGCTGAATACCCTTCTTCAAGCCAGTTCGATTAGCGCTTTCTATGAAGCACTCTTCTGTAGTTCTAGACAATACCTCACTGCAAAGAAGTAACTAGCACATAGTTCATCTAAAACCAGCTAACTCTAGACCCAGTTTTTGGATCTGTCCAGACCTTTTCAACTTCTGCAATCCACTCGTATTGTTTCTTGGCAGGATCCACTCTCGCAAAGCATTAATTGATATTCATGCAACTGACTGTTAAAGGTGATTCCTGCATACTAACATTTATTATTGTACAGTCCACAAAATATGAGAGTTGGGTCTAATAGCCAACAGGTCCAGATTTGTCTGTCATATCCTGGTCTGATGCAGTGTGCCATAGTATTCTCTTTTTAACACCATACACTGCTAGTTTCCAACACTAACAAAAGCAAGTGTTTCTTGTGGCTAGATTTCTCAGACAGCCACCATCCTTTTTGTGCATGTAGTGTGGTCTGGACCTTCTGTACTAACAGACACTGTACTGTACTAATGCAAGCAGAATATTAACCCTATCACTATCAACAAATAGTTGCCCTCGTGACTAGGCTTGTCTGAGAACTCTAGCGCCAGGTATGCATCCAATAGAATGGCCCTTCTCTTTCAATGCATGATTAGTCATGCCATTTCCGCTCCATGCGCACACCAGCTATGCCACGGAGGGGGGTCTCTGATTGACATTGCGAATATAATAGGCCATTGGACTTCCCACCCGCGGAGATGCTCTAGCTAATATAGATTTGTGGAATTTCCTTCACAACTTCACAGTGAGGTAATAAGGGCAAGCTTTTTCGTACTTGCAAATTTAACTACCGTGCTTCAGACTGTTAGCTGCGGCTTTCATTATTTGAGCCTAATTGATGTTGCTATCTCTACTATCCGTCATGAGAGTCAAATCCATTGTTCTTCTCCTGGTCATCGCGAATACTGCGGCCTCTGATCCTCTCTGCCTTTCTCCCCTCACTGCACCTGGGAGTCAGGCCTATAAAACATGTTGTTCCAGCCGAACGGATGGCAAGGAGTTCGTTGACGGGATTGAATTCGAATACAAGTGCGGAATGATGGTCACATCTACTTCCGGGCGGGGTGTGTGTGCGGATAGCGCCTGGCAGTGTGCCAAACGCTGCGCCGCGGATCCCAGCTGTACAGCTGCCAGCTGGTCGGTATCAATCGAGAAATGTTATTTATCAACAACAAGGAGTCCTAACGTGCGCTCTGCTCCATCGGGCGTTGAAGTTTTGTTCTTGAATAAAACAGGCAACAAGATTGAAAACCCTTGTCCAGATGGCTGCCAACCCAAAACAGAAACACCATGTCCTGAAACACCATGTCCTGAAAAGCCATGTCCTGAAAAACCATGTCCTGAAAAGCCATGTCCTGAAAAGCCATGTCCTGAAAAGCCGTGTCCTGAAAAGCCATGTCCTGAAACACCATGTCCTGAAACACCATGTCCTGAAACACCATGTCCTGAAACACCATGTCCTCCATGTCCTGAAATACCATGCCCTCCGTGTCCTCCATGTCCTCCACCAAATTGCCGGGTCTGTGAAGAGGCGCTATCAAAATGCGTTCAGGAAAAATCGATCTTAGAGCGCGACCTCGGTGTTTGTAGGAAACAAGTGACTGACTGGCAAACTGGGTATTACCAACTGGAGAGTCAGCTTCGCACCTGCCAGAGTACGGCTGGACAACTCCAGGGGCAAATCACTGCCCTGTCCAACGAACTAAACACGTGCCGTTCGACCCCTCCTAATGTGCACTCTGGCTGTCCATCATCGCACAATCAGCGAATCACTGTCGGATCTTCCACCTTCACAACACTTTGCAACACGGTGATAAGGACCAGGTCCGTAAAGCCCATCAAGAATGTGCTAGATTATAAGACTTGTCTTCATTATTGTGCGAATGATCCACAGTGTCTTAGTGTGAGCTACAATGAGGGATCATTCGCCGGTTATAATAGCCTTACTTGCTATCTTGTAGTACAGCACGAATCTCCTCTTACGCAGCCTGCAGACGGCACCATTTCTGCATTACGTGCCTAAGCATTACTGTTATTGATTTTTTTTGTCGGATTAAAGAAGTAGTTAGAGGTTTGAATTAGTGACTGAGAAATATGGAATTTAGAAATACAGGTGCTGTATAGATATAGAGAGAGATAAGGTATACCATACACTAGGTATCTGAACCTGTACCACCCATTGCATAGGCGTGAATTCTCCTCATGTGGGGTCTATATAATAGTGGCCCCCGCACTCTACGGGCCATCGCGGGTAGAATACGGGACACCGCAGCCGTAGGCTGGTGCAGTTTCCCGCACGGGTTACAGCTGAGCGTGGTTCGAAATTAGCTCGTCGTGGTTCGAAAAATACGCTAATATTCTGCCACCGCCCTCGAACCATGACAAGGTTTTTCTGAGCATATGCTCAGCGTGGTTTGAATCTAATTTTTCGAACCATGATCACCTGGTTTAAAGAGATCACCTGATCAGAAGTCTTGGCATTCTAAAATAAATTTTTAGCATATGCAGAATTAAGATATAATAGAGATAAAATAGTGAATCTTTAATTACTTTCTAATTAGATAGTCAATAATACTGTCTGGCTGTGTATAACCCTGAGAAATATAATTAAGGATATAATAGAGATTTACTTAATATACTCTATAATTATTATGTTATAATTAGTTATCAGGATCTTAAGATATATATCTCTTTTAAATATATCTATAGAATAATTTTCTATATTTATTTATTCTCTTCTTCTTTCTATCTCTGTTTCTTGTAAGTATATATAGAGTATATCTCTCTTTTTTCTTTTTTGCGCTGTTTTAGTATATGTTGATTGAGATACTGAGATAGCTGACCAGTATAGCTGTCTTTAAGTATCATTCTCTACCTTAGCTTATACCCTGCATATACTAAAGATGGTTTATACTATTGTAGACTTTAATAATCCCCAGGTCTAAAAGGCTGCCAATTCCTTTACTATCAGGGGATAGCACCATGGTTAGTATCTCCTCAATATATTACACCCTGATATTAAGTGTATATAGGTCCTGTCTCTTATACTAATATAGACTGGACTTTTTCTGAGGATAAGTAGCTCCTGAGTATCAGTATAGTATATGTTAATCTTGTACCAGGAACCATCACCCCTGAAATTAATAGCCAGGCCCCCAATCCCAGAGAGAGATTCAGTAGGGTTAATAGAAGGATATATATATCATACTAGCATATACAAAGTATATACTGACTATAAGTCTAGTTATGATATTATAATTAATAGTAATTAGATATGTAGCTATTGCTTCTCAAGTATAATTACAGTATAGATTCAGATTCAGGACTGTATTCACACTATATATACTAATTATATCCAGTACTGCTACCATCTTCGCCAGTCCTATTCTGGAGTCTATTAATACTACTTTAATTAATATAGAGTATATACTCACACTATACAGCCGCTAATCTAAATACTGCTAATATTAGTAATACTAAACTGGCAGCTGGTCAGAAGTAAGTGATTATAGTATAGAAATTATACATAATATATACTAACTCTAAGCTAGTACTCTCAAGTGTTGGATTCTGGAACAGGATTAGAGAAGGGCTAGGTATCTCCATAAATCTAGATTAATTTAAGTATACTATCAAGTCTATATATTATATATACTAATAATATATAGCTGTGGCCCTTTTAATAGTCTTATTAATAAGTATACAGATACTTGTGAATAGATTATATAGATAATTATATTAGTATATTTTTTATATATACTGAATATATTTTAGCTATATCAATACTTTCTTCTATACTATATTTAGAGACTGCTTTTACTGTGATCCAGTAAGTATTTATCTAGTATATCTCTGGTATATACTAACTAGCAGTAGATTATACTCCCTTTATTATCTAGTTATTATAAAAGAAATATTAGTATTAGTCTACTCTATATTAGATATATACTAATCTTATAGCGCGGTTCTATCTCTTCTAGTATTTCTAAATCTAAGCCCAAGCCTGTTCTCCCAGTTAAGAAGATAGGTAAGCAGTTTTATCTAAGTTTTAACTCTATATATACTAACTATACTATAGCTACTAGAGATAGTTATAAAGGCAAGAACAGGATATCTGTTAAAAAAGCTGTATAGTATAATTATATATAGATAATATCTATATCAGCTATATGCTACTGATAGACTGTATATATATATAGAATAATAAAGGGTTTTATCAGGAAGAATAGATTATATAAACTTTAAAGTTTAGTATAAGCAGATTCTGGATAAAATCATTATCTAAAAAACTTACTATATAACTGAAAATATAAAATAGATTTCTCTTCTCTTTCCTGGTCAAGCTCTTATTCAAGTATCTTAATTTTTTTAATTATTTTTTTTTCTTTTTTCTCCTGCTCCAGTATTTTCAATCTCTGGCTTAGACTTTCCATGCACTTAGTATATACCCTGTTTTCAATAATCTCTGTAGATCCCTCATGTTGATGTCTTTTGGGTGCTGGTACTGGTAGAGGTGGCATACTACTGCTATCTAAATATACTGAGCTAGGATATTATATATGTCTAGTAAATATTATAACAGTAACTCCAGTAGCTATACTGGCCAAAGAGACAGTATTATCTTGATCTATATCCTGTATATACTGAGTATAGGGCTGTGGTGTGTTATATAGATTTATAGAATTAAAAGATAATAATAAATCATACTGGCAGTGTCTAACTGCTCTTTACTTTTGTTAGTCTGTATAATATAAATATATATACCGGATATACTGTATATATACTAAAGATATATCTTTATATTTTATATATATTTCTTAATACTTTATATTACTTTAGTTTCTCTATATAGAAGGAATAGCCTTCTCTAAACTAAGTATATTCTTTTAAAACATTTTATTTATGTGTTACTTCAGCCTAATATATTCTTAGTATATACTTATTATAGAGCAAAAGTAAATAATACTTAAGTACTGTAGCTAAAAGTAAGATTTTCTATTCTATAAAATTATTATCTTGAAAATAACTACTTTCACTGATATCAGTATACTTTAGTATATATTACTAATCTTTAATTAGTATTTTAGATATCTCAGGAGTAATTCCAGCAAGAATCTATAATTTCCGCTTATTCTTAAGGTAGTACTTAAGCTCAGGATATATAGAGTATAAATAATCTATATACTGAAGCAGTTAATCTTTATTCTCTATATTCTATAGCTTATTTACTAATAAATAAGCGGTATACTTACTACTAAATTTCTTTTGGAAATTCTGTTATAGATAAGTTCTGCAGAAGATAATATAATAAAGCAGGTATTTATATTATTCTTAACTTAAATCCAATATATATAAGTAATCACCAAGGCCTATATATATTGTTAGCTTATAATATAACTTAGTATTATTATTAAGATATATTAAATCTATTTCTAGTCTGTTTTCTATATATATTAACTGTAATTGTTCAGATTTTATTCTTTTCTCCAGGTGAAATATAGGTAAAATAAACCAGTAAACAAGCTATATCACTAAGTATTTTAAATATTTTAAAGAATATTACAGTATATATATAGCATGTCTCTAGATTAAGAAATATATAAGTATAAGTATTGATACCTAAAGATATATTAGTAGAATATAAGTAAAAGTATTAAACAGATCCAGTATATACTTAGTCTATATATTCTAAGATAAGATAGAGAAGATATTAGTCTTTTTATTAACTATTTTAAAGAAGAGATCTATTTCAAGATAATTTATATAGATAAAAGCCTTAGCCTGAGTATATATATAATATAGAATTAACCAATACTCAGGATTAAAGAAATAGATCTCACGGATCTATTACTTACTGTTTTTCTTTAACTGATCAAAAGAATACTCTCTTAATATACCTAAATTATACTCAGTATATACAATATATAACCCCGGTATAAATAATACCTGTAATATATATTCCCTTAGGAAATGATAAGAGCTTTTGCTTCCGGATTAAAGTAGTAATATAATCTTTAATATTCAAGCACTTATAAAGTATATATAGAGTACTAGATCCAAATCTATTATATAAATTAGTAAATATTAGAGAAAGTATAAACTGATCTAGATTCTAGTTATTAGTATATTTTCAGTATATACTATAGATATATATAGTATACATACAGTTAAATTAAGAGTATCTTGTTACTGTATTACTTATATTACTTTATCTGCAATATATAATAGTAATTTAAGTGGTAGAGGAGAAAAATAAGTATAAGACAATCATATAATTAAAAAAAGAAAAGAAAATTAATTCTATTATAATAGAATATAGAGATTAAATTAAGATAGATATTTTGGCTTGATTAAATATTCTGGATTCCCTGGATAGGAGTAATCTATATATATTTAGTATAGATATAGTATATACAAAGATATAGATTTACTATACTGCAGAATTATTTTTCTGTAGTAATCTGACTAATAAAGTTATACTTTTGTTTAGACTCTTTAAAGCTATATTTTACCAGAGATTTTAGATATAAGTAATTAATCTACTGAAAATATTCTATAGTATATATATAATGCTATAGCTCTAGATTAGAGTTCTTTAAATAGCTAATAAATAAAAACTATCTTAATTAGTATAACCTTATAAAAAAGACTGTATATACAGGGTATATACTAATACTATTCTGATAAAATATTACTGATAAATTACTGTGGCAAGTATTATAACCCTTATAAATATAGTCTTGTTATTTCTATATATTTAAGAATCCGCGGAAAAATCTAGTATCTAGTAAGTATATACTTATCATATATTTATATTAGATTATATTAGAAACTTACTCTTCTGTAGCTACTTTTAGAAGATTATTAACCTTATTATTTAATACTGCACCTGATAATTCATGAAGTAAATTAAGATTCTGAATATTAATTTAATTATAGATTCTGTCTCTATTAATTATATATAGTGTATACTCACTGTATATCTTAACTGAGCCATATTTATATACTTAATGCCAAGCCCGTTGTACAGTATTATTATCTGACTTTAAAAGAATTAGCATTTTAACAATTTTAGGTTAACTGGTATAATATATTGTAAATTGAATCTGTAT